GTGGAGAACCCAATGAACAACATTTAATGGAAGCAATTTAGAATACAGTAAATCCTTCATTATTTCACTGAGTTCATTGCAAAAATTAAAAATTAAAATTAGACTTATCAATAGTTACACAATTTCTTTTGTCCGATGCGCTGCCATACCATTTTAAAACAATGACCATTGATTTTTTCTATCCGGGGTTGATCGAAAGTCTTTCATAATGACACGCTTTGAAAGAGTACTCGGAACGCATTGCTCAGTTCCTGGCGTAAACTGCATTGACTCGATTTTTATTGATTTCCGAAGGTCGGTGACCGTCAGCTGTCCCGGGCGACTCAGGCGCAGGGCGTCCCCAGGGCGGCGGTCGCTTGCCGCAGGGAGTGGGAGCACTACTGAATGGCCCTCATCCGCACGCACGTCCGCAAAGTTAACGCCCACTTATTGCAAAATTGAAAGAGAATATTCCAGAATTTTTTCTATTTAAGAACTCATTTATACCAAAATTTTAAAATTTTGAAACAATGCGCAAACTCAAAATATTAAATACTAAAGAGTGGGTACGCTAACTTAACTCTTTAGTGTTGAATATTTTTAGGTTGTGCATCGGTAGAAAATAGCTACCGTCAATATTAGCCGTGTAAAGTGCTATAATATTCATTAAAATGGCATAAAATAACATTGAAGTAGCAAAAAAGTAGAAAAATGACATAATAAATTAAATAATCTATTAATCCATATTGGCGAAATATGCGATACAAATGTATAATATTCTCAAATTTCATCAGTAGAACGGATTCGCAAATTACTCACCACTGTATTGAAGTAAAAAGAATGACATTTCACCAATCGCACCCTAGAAATATGTGTGAGAACGTGACTCTGCAAGGTAAGACAAATTGCTGAATAAATATATGTGAATATATCAGAATTATTTGTAGATTTCAACAACGTTATTTGTTTTGACGTGTTTATCTTTATATCATTTTCACAAAGCAGGCAAAGATTCTTTTAATTATAAAATTGATTCTTAAAGTAAAATCGAGAGTAATAAGCCTATCGTGATAAATAATGTAATAGTGCGAAAGTTGAATAATTGAAATATTAATGAAAATGGTCCGTATTATTTTTTAAGAATTCCAAGTAGAATATTACCTTTTACGAGGGATTCACATCCAGGGGACAGGCTTCATATTGCCCCATTTTTATATTATTTTAAAATCCAAGTGAATAAGCCTTTCTCTATAGAAAATTTCGTTCGTAATTAATGTGTGTGTGTGTGTGTGTGAGAGAGAGAGAGAGAGAGAGAGAGAGAGAGAGAGAGAGAGAGAGAGAGAGAGAGAGAGTGGCAATTTAAAATTATAATATACGAAATTTTATATATCAGGAAAGAGATCGCCCAAAAAAGTGTCAATATATTAATTAGAAATTCCCTCCTCCACTTCACGCACACGTAGTAAAAGTTTAGCTGTTATTCCATAACAAATCCACTACTAACCCCAAAAATTGTACTAATGAATCATTACAGGAAGAGTATTAAACATTCTTGAATTCCAGGACACAAAAAGAGGTCTGCGTTTTTAGATTTGCTCCTGCAACATGAACGAGATGGATTTTTAACTGATCAAGATATTCGGGACCAAGTTAACACTTTTCTAGTAGCAGTGGGTATTGTTTTGTTTCTTAGTGATAGCAAAAGTATCGTTGCTAATGTATTGACACATTTTAACTTATATTAATTTTTTGAAAAAAAAATTATATAGTAATCTTGTCATTTTAGGGTCATGATACACTGGCTAAATCATCGGGCTTCTGTTTGTGGTTGCTCGCAAATCATCCACAATGTCAGGTAATTAATACAATTAAGTTTCATTTTACTTAAAGGTTTACGAATTATTTCCTGGTTATTATATGTATTATTATTATTATTATTATTATTATTATTATTAATATTATTATTACCTTTCAAAATTTTAATTCATATTAGAATTTTTATGATCTCTTTAACCTGAATAACACGAATCTTCATAACAGGCGATTTCGGAAGTTCTGCGAACGCGGGCATGGCGTCCAGAAGCTGCGGCGCTCATGCGCGTTTGTTGAAACTCCAGAAATATTGGGCCAAAAGGAAACGTGAATTAGATTTAGATTTATTTAGTGAATAAAAACCAGTAAAAACTGTATATGACGTATGGTGGAGAAGAAAAATCTTCGCATGTTTTCTTGTGTTCTAAAATCCTTTCGCATCATTATAACTATAAATAGTTGGAAAATGACTCAAAGTTAAAGGTAAATAAATAAATATTAATAAAATTTTAGAAAACTCTAGATTTGCAAAATTCGAAAAACTAGATATTATTGTTCCCGAGTTATAGAAAAACGTATTTGCAGCGGTAAACGAACTGCAGATTCGAGAGCGTAGGCTACCGCGTCCGGAGTCAGTATTTACTAGGCTATCCGGGTGACGTGTCCATGGCGCAAGTGCCGACGTTTCGGTCGCCATTTTGCGACCTTCCTCAGGGAGGCATTACGTCCTGAGGAAGGTCGCAGAATGGCGACCGAAACGTCGGCACTTTCGCCATGGACGTGGCGTCACCCGGACAGCCTAGTAAAGAACTGCAGATTATTTTTTGTTTTTTCATTGCTAACAAAATAGTAACTCTACTCCTACCACTACAAACAAAAAGAAAGTTTGACAAAACGTGCGTATAGTGAAGCTACATTTACGTCCAGAAGCAAAACGTGAGGCCATCTCAGCATTTGCTCAATGTATCAAGGAAACTGGACAAAAACCTGATCGGGGTCATTTCGCTTCGTAACAGCTTCAAAGAGACTCCGACACACTCTTACAGCCAGGCCCGCCCCTTTAAACGTTACGATATAATTGCACCATTCAAAAAAAAATAACAACTGTAAATTCACAGAAACAGTGAATATTGAAACAGATTTTCAGGGAAAAGAATTTTGCTAACGCCGTCCAAGAAAAAGGGCCGCAAATATAGAAAATATTCGAAATGTATAGATATGTCTTATCTCAAACACTGAAAATATTTTAAAACACATTTGCAGAATATCATTGAAATATAATTGTTTAATATATGTATTATTAGTCCTTATATAAACAACTCTTTTAATTATGTTGCAATTTATTGTGAGGTCCACCGTTGACCAATATTAGTGTTGTTTGGGGACAGCAATTGTGATAGTAGCGGCTGTTTACAGATTAACTGTCGACCGCGTTGTGTTCATGACGCTCCCCACGCTCCCTTCTCATTGTAAAGCTTTGGGTTCCGTTAGGCCTTTGAAATGACACCTCTTGATGAAAAGACTCGAGGACTCTCTATCTCTGGAATGTTTTACTTCTTAACAATACAAGCCTAACCTCTGCACTTCTCAGTTTTGAGATATTCACTGGAGTACGATTAAAGGTATCAATAAAATAACTATGGAAAAAATATTTTTTTAATTATATTCTGTAGTGTAATGAGCTTTTTGAACTGGATTGATCGATGTATCAATATACTGAATATTAATTCCAATCCAGTTTGCAACTCGTATTTTTTCAACGACTGATTTTAGGATGCTTATACATGAATTAGAATGGTGTATCATGGTGCTAATTTACAGTTCTTCAAACGTTAAAATTAGATAATTCGACGCGTGAAATCGTGTAATCAAATGCTACGCAAAATCAATTCGAGATTTCGAAGGAAATACACATTTTGGGGTCCCCAATACGAAAAAAGTGGTTCTTTTCAAAACGTCCGTCCGTGCACAACACGCGCCTAAACAATGTGTAGGATTGTTTCCAAATTGAAGAAACCCTTGAAGAAAAACTTTCTTTCAAATTTGAGGGTACTTTGCATGAAGCCCACCGGAAATTTTGAAATTTTTCTCAAAAATAAATCTTTCTTATATCTGAATTTTTGATAGAGATTTTTCCTTCAAATAAAACTTGTTCTCCATAGTGAGTATTTTCATTGTCATGAATTTTTAAAACTTTAGTAGTTTTCGTGCAATATTGCAAGAAATATGTGCTATTTTCAAAAATTACAAAAACAAGCTTTTCTCAAAAACGGCCCCAAATATTTTCTTCAAACTATTCCTACAAATATTTTTAGTTGCAATGTTTAATATGACATAGAGTTAATTTTGCTGTTTTGATTTGTTGTATCAAAAATTACACAAATGTAATTTTTTGAAAGATCCTGACGTCTTTAATATTGTAGCGGCTTGCAGCAGTTCAGAGCTGAGAATGGAAACAGAAAACGAATTCGGGAAAGTCTATGCCATGCTGTAACACCATTAGTTCTTTATTGTGCAATTGAATCGTTGGAATAAGATCCCAAGAAATCAAAACGGATTCGTCATTTTCAAAAACATTATAATTCCAGTTTTGTTTTCCAAGACTTACAATCTCCATCCCCAAAATAACAATATCAATGACAAAAAGGACATTAATATTTTCACGTGCTGATTGTGGAAATTTGTAATGACATCTCGTGTGAACTGTGCTTCCCATTTAAATAATACTAAGGCAGAAAACAGTTCAGGGAACATTGCAATCAATGTATCTCAATAAAAAGGTGAACACGTCTTTACTCCTTTGTGCACCGATCTCCCTCCCTGTCGATTCAAATAGAAAGTTACTGTCTCGTTCTTTGCATCATACATGCGGAAAATAAGGAAAAGTAGGCTGAGGTCATACATGTGCCAAACAGAGATTATTGGCGAGATATTTTGTGTGTGGTCAAAACATAAAAGAAATGCATTTTGTGGGTGGTGCAGTACTCTTTAGTATTATTACCCCTCCTTTTATAAACAAGCTCTGTAACTGAAACTCTTTTTGCAGTATCATTGAGCTGTGGGTTTTTACGTCTTACACTGAGCTGATCACAATTACAGCATGAAACTATTTGAAACCTAGCCTAACAATAATTGGCGTACCTCTTGTGCCTTTTATATCTGTTTTTACTATCAGAATTAGTTAAACTGTATTTTTCTTTGAAAAAATAATGCACTATGCTTTGCGTCTAAGTATTTTTCTTCTTTGGTAGCATAGCGACTAATTTTCACAGAAATATTAATAAGATCCTTAATCATGTCTGTGAAGATCTTTAGAAAAGTCTTCTGATTGTTTTACTGTACCTTGAGATCTCTAGCATATCAAAACTAGCTCTTTTAGCCTTCTCACTCTTTTCTTACCAATACCAAGCACACTTTAAAACGTTATTTTACATACTTTAATATTTGATTTTCCATTCATTACAATAACAATGAATGAATTTGCATGATACACAGAATCACTGGACTTGGGTTGAATTTCAGTTGCCCCATTACATTATTTAGACCGGACTATAGAGCGTTTGGTCTTTACAGGAAGTAGAGTTTAGTATGCTAAACTGTGCAGAAAGTACTGCAAAATCTGAACTTGTCACTCTTTCCAGTTAAAATCACTACTTTAGTGTCGAATTTCAATTTAGTCATTTTTAGTTACTTCATTAACCATTTCAGTCTATGCCTGAAAAAATAAAGCAAAAAATTATCATACAATATAAAAACAGAGAATATTTAAGTAAAAAGTTTTGGAACACCAAGAAACCGCAAGAATTTTTTCCTTTAAGAATCAGAGCAAATACGAATCTATTTCAAAGAGGGTAGCTATAAGTTATAAAAGGGTAATTATTAAAGTGTCTATTATTCCTTCAGACCAGACTCCTGTCAAACGAAGTATTTAAGTAGGGCGTTTATCTACTCACGTACGAGACATTCCTGTTTTCAGAGCTTGCACAACAATTCATCTCTGAACAATTCCTTTCTGGTTAACACACTCTTATCCGTGAATTGTTGCTATCTCTATTCGATTGTCTTTATAGCTCAGATGCCTACGACTTCTAAATCAGAATCATTAGGATTTTCATTCTCCTTTATATGACATTGTTTACTTCACTATAACAATAGAAGATTTAAAAAACATAAAATTGAAATGAATTTATTTACGTCAAAACAGTTAAAAACTGTATGTAACTTGCTTGCTAGTGTGTAACAGATAAAAACTGTGTCTAATGGGGACATTGATCCAGAAACTAAGAACAATATTTGTTATAGGTTCTATAGAATTATACAATACAAATAGTAACAAATACATTAAATATCATTGTAAAAATAATAATACTTTCATTTTGGATGCTCGGTATAGTCTCTAATTGTATAGAAACCGTTGTGAAGCAGAAAAGACTTTACCTGGGACTTCGGAACTTTTGTACCGAATTTAATCGTTTAATGTCTTCTGGCAAGGTGTTGTAAAATAATGTACATTGAATGAAGTGAATTTTTTGTAGTGAGCTGTTGATACTGTCACTTCATTAATATGATTACTGAATAGTTGTAGATATATATATTAATTTTGGGAAATCCATGTTGGCAATCTGAAAACCAGTCGTGTTTACTAAGTAAGATTTCATTCGTACGTAAAAAAGTATCTAATATTTTTGAAAAAAAAAAAAAACGACAAAAGAGAAATTGGCGTTTTGAATTTCATTGTTGTTGCCTTTATTGAAAAGCGGCTTAATCTTAACTGTTTTAAAAGTATATTAAAAAATGTGTTAAAAAATTCTGTGCATGAAATATGCGAGTTAACGGATGTATAAAGGCGGGCGCACAAGTCGTTAACAAACAATCCGGAAACTCACTAAACCGGCGAGATATTATTTTTTAGTCTGCAGATTGTTTTGAGACTTACATTGTAAGAAGTTTCGGAAACGAACATTGTATCTAAAATTTTTGGGAAGACGTCTGATGTTGAAATTTGTAGCTGAAGGCCCTCAGCGAGATTGACAGCAATTTTCGAAAACTATTGGTTGAGACTCGACACTGTTGCTGGATCGTTAACATTTCCATCGTTATCTTTTAAAACAACATTCTCTACTAGGGTCTAGTTGATTTGGAATTTGAATTTTTTACTATATTTCACATTGTTTTTGTTTTATTATTTGATTTCAAAATATCCTGATCATGTTTCGTAATTTTAGGTTTCCTTAAGACTTTCTTAACAATGATTTGTAGGTTTCAAAGTAGAGGACGAAATCTTGAGATACGTTATGATGCTTAGAATTGAAAGAACGAATTCGTTTGTTTTTACATGATGTCCTAATCCCTTGTGTTATCCAAAAATTGCTTCTCCGTGAAATATTTAATTTTCTTTTTTGAAGAGGATAGCAAGTGCTAAAATGAACTGAAAGCGTTGAAAAAAAGCATTATATTTATCGTTTGTATCAACAGTATTGTACACCGGGTCCCATGACTTGCAAGTAATTAATGAATAATTTTATTTTACTTTTAGTATACAATTTCATGCGTGTATTATTTAATGTGTCAGTGTTTGCATTTCTTATAATGGTTAGAATATGTGCTTCACTGAATGATAAATCTTTTTTTTTAATTTCATATCGATTAATAATTTTGTTAATTATTATTTGATCGATTGTCTTCTTTGGATTTGGTGTCATCCGTGTAGGTCCATATATTGTAATATCTAAACTGAAGGAATGAATTAAGCTGAGAAACTGCTCTTTCTCGCAAGATTCGACCAGAAAATCAACAGCTCCGCATACAACAATGCATTCAAAAGAGCGTTTGCTGACTTTGTTCAGTGTTATCTCCAGTTGTTTTTAGAACATAATATAAGGTTTGTTACAGCAGCAGTCCGAAATACTCCCGAACTAGTCCGCGCATGCGCAGTCTAGTATTGACCGTTCCAGCAGCAGCAGCAGCAGCAATCAGTGATTGTGATTGTGCGTTCCAGAAGGGCTGCTGATACGTTTGAAACCAGTCCGAATCAGTTCGGGAACTCTCTCTAAAAATCCGCGCATGCGTACTTCGGACCCCGAGTTCCTGCCAACGCCAGACTTTAACGACGCGCCATTTACGTTTCCGTCAGGTTTCTGCATAGTTGTTTTATGTTCTGCTCTATATATTTTGACCCTGCTTTGTTTTACATTTCATTGAATCGTGTCTTTGGTGATTTAGCTTTCTTTCGGATTTTCTTGTAGATATTGAAATTTGACCCTGCTTTATTTTACGTTTTATTGATTTTCTAATTTTTTTCAAGTATTACTAATTTCGCCCTTCTTTCAAATTGATTTATAGTTAAAATGATGGAAAGGGATTCAAGAAAACATGCGCAGATCATCTTCTCCCCCATACGTTAATACAGATTTTAGTGTTGCATTTACTTGGACTTTTTCTTGGATTTTGGTGACTTAGCTATGTTTGGGGTTTTCTTGTGAATATTGGAACTTGATATTTGTTTCTTTTTTGAAGAAATGGAAGGTAAGTAATTTTAAGGAAGTTCTTTGTATTACTCGCGTATCTTTTTTTAAACGATGGATTGAAGAAATGCAAGTAGAGTGGGGGTATTAGTTACGAAATCGGTCACTAAATTTTATCAAGCAATGCCAATCTCTGGAGAATCAGACATTCCTTCGCAACGTTCTCAATAATTTGCATTCTAACTTTCTTAGGAGTTCTAGGTATCTCCTGTGATAGATCGTTACCTGCTTCGGTAATTTCTTCAGATTTTTGGGTAAAATAACGGATAGAAGTTCTTGTATTCAAAGAAAATTGTTTATATTTCGCGCCAGTGAAGATTTGTTTCGAATGCTGTCATCAGTGCTCATCTTCAACTGTTTATTGGGCCTACTATATATATATATATATATATATATATATATAATATATATTATATATATATATAATATATATATATTATATATATATATGTGAGTGTGTGTGTTTGTGTAGTTATTTACCATTCTGTATTGTTATCGTTATCGCTCATTTAAATAAAATACAATTAACTGAAATCCAAAAGAATAGTCAAAAACAATAGCGCAAGTCACAGTTTTCCAGGTTCAAAATCCGTAATTAATAGAGAGGTCATGAAAATAATATGCGAGCAAATATGGAGAAACATAAAGCGCAAGTAATTACCAGGAACTGACCAGGACCAGATCACTTTGATTTTTGCACACGATACAAAAATAATATCTGGCTGATAATTCTGACGAAACGAAAGCAGCGGCACCTAAAGAATGATTTTTGTACCTGCTTGTTCCAGCAGATCCCAAACCGGGTCTAATTTCTGACTAGTTTGCTCTCGCGCATGCGCAGAGTGAGAGTAAGTAAAACTGTCCGTGACTGTTTGCTGGAACAAACCTATAATCTACTGTTCTCTTTGTTGGAGGCTTGTAGATGCTAAATAATGTAATTTTTAACGTATGATGTTCAACAGATATTTCAAACACATTTTCAACGGAATACAATAAATTTTTAATTCCGTCAAAGAAATAGAATCGATATTATTTTGAAAGTAAATGCAACAACCCCCATATGCAGGACCTTTGTGCGATTTCTTTTCTTTACAATAATAACCTGTGAGGTAAAAGTTTGGAATTTGGAAAATACGAAGTTCACTATGAAATAACTAATGTACTGTAAAGTAAAGAACATCCATTTGATTTAAAACCACTGCTTCGATAAACTCAGTTTTATTTGAAAGGATTGAACATTATGGTGCAGTATGTTTATCTTTTGCAAGTACCTTTACACATGTTTTTCTACTGCATCTAACTGTAGTTGCTTCAGTATTTACTAGGCTGTCCGGGTGACGCCGCGTCCATGGCGAAGGTGCCGACGTTTCGGTCGCCATTCTGCGACCTTCCTCAGGGCCTAATGCGTTGATGATGTGTTGTGTAATCTTGTTGCCGACTACATGTTCATGTGGCGACCATGCCTGCTGAAGTGTTTTGCTGAGAGAAAATTAATTTAAAAATGTGTGTTACACAAACGTATTTCTTTTGACGAATTGTTAAACCATAATGCACTGACATATGTTTGCCATATTTACAGGAGAGAGCATATGAGGAGCTGAGCAAAATATTTGGCGACTCCGGTCGTGATGCTTCTGCAGAAGATTTGAAGGATATGAAATATTTAGAAACGGTAATCAAAGAAAATCTAAGACTTTATCCTGCAGTGCCATTATGTTTAAGAGAGTTGGAAGAAGAGGTAACAATTGGTAAATTAAATAATATATATTTAAAACTATTTCACTGTTATTTCATGTTTTCTTTTATATATCACTATATTGTTTCTGTTGTATTTCACTTTCGTTTCGTACAAAAGGACGCTGGTACATTTAAAACCTCTAATAAACCGAGCTCTAATCAGATTTATAGTCTAGTCTAGAATATTATGTAATTTACGTATTAATTTAATTGAAACTGTTGGGTCGGTTCAGATCGGCAAATATTGGATGTTTCGACTTTTTGGAGCCAAATTTGAATGTATTGTTCTCATGCCCCTCAAAAAACAGTCCCGTTTGGAGAGTGGGCCAAAGGTAGTGGGGGTAGGTCCGGTCATCTATAGATTAGGCAATCACCAAACAACATTATAAAAGCTAGTGGTGCTACAACAGCACGTTCTTTCTCGTGATATTGTTAATGACAATGTAATATTATAATATAACAATTTCTGTCTTACACGTCAACTACCATTTAAAAAATTCTTAAACAAAGGAAGCGTGTAAAATGCATACCTTTTTATTTTAATTCAAACGTTTAAACGAATGCAGCTTTTCGCCATTGAATTCAGAGTATTCACGTTCTATAAAAGTGTATCAACGATTCGCGATGCGTATTATAGCCATAAATAAAATTTTTAGTTTATATTAATGGGAACGAACGGTGGCCGTCATTATCGCCTTCTGTTATCAGAGCGCCGTTACAACAACGCGTTGCAACAAGCAACAATGACTTTCATACCACTGCAAATATGCAAGGCCTCACAGTCCTCTGGTAATGGCCAGTTGCAAATTTAAGTTTGATTTGGCAGCTATGTTGGGGCAAATTTACGCACTTTATTCAAATACTTCGAAATTTTACAGACTGTATAAGCAAATTGTACAGACTGTATAAGCAAAACTAACATTAAAATGTCAAAACTTTCATGCATTTCTGACATAATACCATACGTCGTTATCATACATATTTAGCATTCACCTTTGTAAAGTTAAAATAGCACTTGTTTAAAGTAAGTTACCGACGTGATTTTGGGCACTTGTAACAAGTTCAAAAGCAAAAAATAAGGATGTAAGCTTCTTCTAGCAAACATGTTAATCTAAAAATGGAGTAATTAAGGTTAGTCCTCTAAATTACAATCCTTTAAAAATTGCTGATCTCGTCTAATGTAGAACATTTTTTCAGTAAGAGGGTCCAACACATCAAATTGGCGAACGGCTAGACAATTTAGCAGCTAGCGTTGTTCACGGACTAACAGACGGATGGATAGACAGACGTTTTCCCATCATTCGATTTTTAGGTATCAAGGACCTACAAAACATGGATTCTAGATACACCAAGTGTTAGGGGATTTTGTTTCTACATTTAGCAATGGATTAATCCACTTCTTTGTTCTCAAGGCCCTCTAATAAGAGTTTTTCTGCCAAAAATTCCCCGTTTTTTGCGCTGCATTACATATTAATATTTTTCTCTCCTCTCAGTACCGAGAATGTAAAAATTGCCTATATTTCACGCGAAAATTCTCCTATTTTCGAAACATTTTACATGGCCTTATTTCAAAATATATATATTTAAGGAACAGATTTTAAGGGAAAATTGCTATTTTCAATATTATAGTTTTAGGAAGAAACCGAACATTTTTTGACGTTTTGCAGTTTTGGAAAAATAAAGTTTTTATAAAATATTAGACTTATTTTTATTGACTTGTTTTTATAAAATATTAGAATATTTCCCATTCTCTTAAAAATCCATTACACCATTCAAAACAAAATGCAATTAAAAAATTGGACCCTTTTTTTTAACTTTAGAAAGTGTTTAAAGGTCTTCATGAAAAGTACCTCCCAAAATTAGTATATCGTTTTCAAATTCAAAGGACCGTGACATCAGCCACATTGATTGAGGAATATCATGTATGGAGAAAATCAGCTGTTTAACCACTAGTGTTGTTCACAGACAGACTCGGACGGACAAAGGCACCATTTGCCGTCAATCGATTTTGCGGTGTCACGGATCTGTAAAACATAAATTCTGGATATACAGTGACTTAGAGGTTTCTTTTTTAAATTCAGCTATTGAGTTTATCAACTTTTTTGTTACCTGGGCCATGTTATACGAGTTCTTCTGCAGAATATTTCCCGTTTTTTCGCGCAACATTACGTAACTTTTTCTCTACAGCGGTAGAGTAACTAGAGATAAAACAGCACATACTTTCCCCCTTAGTACCGGTTAACATAGTATAATTATATATCAACTTCTGTCCATATCAACTCATCTCAGTCAATAGACGTTGCCAATAATGGGCGCATGTGGCAATAAGCACTGTCAACAATGAGTACATATTTTCTGATCAATTGTTTCTTAAATACCATTTTTGCCATAAATGAATGTTTTTCAGTTGTAATTGTTGATGTTATATAAAAGTTCTTATAAGGCGTTCTGCATTTCAAATTCAAAGAGCCGCGACATGAACCCCATTTTCCTCTCTTACGAAGACACAATTATCTTTCGTAGTGTCTCCAAGTGTATTCTAAGTTCAGTCCGATATTTTTCATTTTATTGTAAATGAATATTTATAACCAAACAAAGTAATAATTAGTCTCTTAATATTCAATGTCTTCAAAGAGAAATTTCTCAGTTAAAGATGCCCCAAAAGCAGTAATACAGAAAAAGCGCTAAAACGTTTCATTTTTGCTGTTAACTCGCCATCAAAAACTGTTCGGACTTCGTCGGTTTGTTTTTGAAAAAAAATTAAAGAAATATGAAGTAGTAAATCAACCAATACTATTATAAATATTATAGATGCAGCAGTTAAATATTACTCACTTCTAGCTTGCCCTTTCACATTATCCACATTTGAATAAACTTATAAATGTATGGCAAATACTTCAAAAGTTTCCAATGGTTCGTGGGAAAAAAATTAAATAACCTAAAAACCGTAATTATATCGAAAGAAAAACTAATTTTAAGCACATTGTAATAAGTAGACACCAGAAATTTATGCACCAGAAAAATATGAATGCAATCATGCACTGAAAATTACCAATATATGCACTTAAAATAGCCAACATTTGCGCTTACAACTAAGAATGTACGTTAGTCAAAGATATAGATATAGCAACGGTAAACATTTATTTATATACACTTTTTTACACTGTAGTACAAATAGCGTGTAATAAAAAACAATTCGAACATTATATTCACCAAAAAATAATTAATAGTAAAAAGCAATAGCATTGTTAGAAGTTGCCATTCAGTCCAATTCTCTAAGTTCATTTCTTATATTTATTACGAAAAGAAATAACTAATAACTTCTCTACATTTTATAATGAAAGACTTTTTGTCATAACCAATTTGAACGCGAAGAACGTTCTCCCCATGTCATATTGCATATTTAAACAATGGAAAAATGTTTAACATGTCGTTTCACTTCAGATTTCCCCACAAGAATATCAGAAACAGTTTTTATTAGTTCATATCCTGGATTATCGTTCAGAACGCGATCCATTTTCGCGGCCACTCTCTTACCTTGTAATCCTGGTTAAAATCTCCTTCAAATTCTACACAATTTCTAGTGATGAAATTAAAGAGCTGTCTCTAAGGAAGTGATGCTACTTTGAATAATGGAAAACTGAGCAGATATATGGAACAGTTTATTTTGGATACACTCATCGGCTGTCGGCCAGTTTTTGAGAAAATGGCGTTTCTAAAAATGCTGAATTTCGCACTACTTTCATTGAAAACTGTTCAGTTTTCGAGAAAATTTACGTGACGTTATTTAAAGCACGAGAACACATAAAAATGAAAATGTGAACAAATCGCCGCCTATGAAACTATTAACGATGAGTAACCAGTGAAAAAAAAAATTAAAACAAGAAAATAGACAAACTCAGGTTTATGACATCTCACACAGTACATTTAGTACCATTACTATCAAAAATGTAAAGAAAAATTGTTTAGCCGTGTTAGAGAAAAAATTGTTTTTGTTATTTTGCACAATTGCACTAACTGCACGCAATAATGCGCGAAAACTAAACGTTTTACAAAAATGTACATGATCTTAACAAAAGAACACTAGAACAAATTTTCTTTGACGGAAAAATCTCAATCTTCAATTTTGTAGTTGTAGGAAGACTAACAAAAAAATTCAAAATTTTCCAATATGCAGAGTTAACACTCAACATTTTTATAAGTGTATTTTACTCTATTCTTACAAAAAATTAAAATAAAAAGATGGAGCAATTTTTCAGAAAAAATTGAAAATGTTTGGGGGGCTTCATGTAAAGTACTCTCAATTGTAAATACAGTTTTTTAAAATTGCAGCGTCTTGTGTCGTGTGGTGTTCATAGAGAGAGACAGACATACGAAAGAACGGAAGACAGAAGAAAGTTTCTCCAAAAGGTGTATTTTCAATGAAATCTCGAAATTGATATTTCCGCAGCATTACATAACTTTTCCTATACATTACTCCGTATACGTGTATGTACTTGGACAAGTAAAGATATTTGTGTATTTCAGGCTTCATTTGTATAAGAATTTTTAAAATCGTAGTTTTATCCATGAACAACATCGCAAGAAAGTACGTGTTGTTGTAGCACCACTAATTTATTTAAAAAGTAATTAATTCTATTACTACAGGGCCTTACCTAATAATGGTACATCCCTGACATTATTAAATTTTGTTTTTTTAAGGAAATTTCTGTAATGAAGCTTTATTCTTAATATTTTCATTACAAATTTCTCTAATTAGACTCTCTTACAGGCAAACAATATTTTAATTTCTGTAAATTAAAATACTGACGCTAACACTATTCTTTTTTGTAAATATATTAAACATTCGTTCATATTTGTTGTAGACGGATGTCAGTTATTGCCAGGCACAACTGTAGCACTTCCTTTATATTTAATTCATCGCCATCCGCATTATTTTCCTGAACCAGAAAAATTTGATCCTGATAGATTTTCTCCTGAAAGAGCTAAAGGAAGGCATCCTTACGCGTTTGTACCCTTTAGTGCAGGCCCTAGAAACTGTATAGGTGAGTCCGTTTTATACTCGTATTATCTGTTAAATACATTGACCATTCGATGAAGAGATATAATTCTTTTTTAAGACACAAAACATTGCTCTGTAAATAAAAAACTAAAATATTTTAATTTTTATTTGAACGTGATTGCGTGGTTAGTAGATCTCGGAGTTTTAGACACAAAGTAGTGATGATTTATATGCACTTTCAATAGGTTAAAAAAATGAAATTAAGCAACGTTAGGCACGGAAAGGGTAGTTTAAGGGACTTAAAATAGCATTCAAAATTACTAAACCAGGAACTTAAAAAAATTAAGAGACGGAAAGTTGTATTTCTGGCATCTAGAACTGATCACAAAAGGATTCAATTAGGCACTTTTTTATTCAGGAAAGTGAAATAATTTTCACGTTTATGAAAGTGAAAAATAAAAATGAATAAAATAATATAGTTATTTTCATTTATTTTATTCTTTCACACTTTTTATTCCCAACCTGTCACCTACGCGGCTGAACCGGAAATGGGTGCAATTGCGCAAGAACGTGCGTGCTGAATATCATTATATTGACATCAACATATTGACATATATTCTATGTGTTGGAAAGAGATTTTGGTTCGTAGTCGAGAGCGTATTCTATAAAGAAATATTTACTTTTCTAAAATTTCGGGGAAGTATATGCGCTCCGGTCTAACAATTTTATTAAAAAATAGTATATTAAATATTACAGTTCTTTAAAATTACTTGTTCTAGACAGTTTTAGACAAAAAATATTGAAATATGAGGAATCAACCACCCTTTTCGGACATTTTAGACACTAGCAGATGCTTTTAGTGTATCTATTTTTTTCGTGGTTTTTAATCTTCAGCAATTATTTTCCACCATTTTCTAAAGGAACTTAATAGACATTTGTCCTAAAATCCGAGATCTATTGATGAAATATGTAACAGTCCGTTTATGTGGTTTCTTTTCTGCTTGTTTCAGGGCAAACATTTGCAATGATAGGAATGAAAGCTATAATTAGCAAGGTCTTGAGAACTTACAAATTGTTACCTGGGACAACAGAACCTGTTTTAACTATTAACGTTTTTTTAAAAACTTGTACAGGTCTTCACATAAAGTTAGAAAATCGAAAATTTGCGTTTACATAAAATTTATCATACTCAATATAACCTGTCTTACATATTCAATAATTTTAAGTTAAAAACGAGAACTTTAATTGCGAACATTTTCATTGATGATGTATTCATTGATCATTATTTGCAATTTTGATTTATGGATTTTTAATAGTCGTTTAGTATGTTGGTTTGTATGTATTTCTTGAACTGGTACCTGGGTGGTAATTAGTACCTTACTGATTTGTTAATTGATTAATAAAGATTGATTAATTTTAAATTTTATAATTGAATATTGTACTGGCAGCGTACATGCAACTCTGACAATTCAATGCACTTTTGCCACATTATTAAGCAAAGGGCACCTTCTACATGGCGGATAAATGAAATCTCAAAGCATTAACATTAATTAACTCAAAGCATTAAGGCTAAGACACGTCTTGAACTTATGAACATAACTTTCACCAAAGCCTAACTTTATCGTCTCCGTGACGGTCATATGAGCGGCAACACTGAACCCTGGCTATGAGAGTAAACAAATCCTCGCATGCAGATTGCTTCAGAGATTGACGTGACAGTACGAGGCGAGAGAACTGCCAGAGTCGCTTAAACGCTGCCGGATCTGTAGTTTAATAACGTCCATACGCCGCACAGGTGCGCACTCAAGGCAGCTTTCGTGTTCCATTTGACTACTAGAGCGCACCAGGGCTATTATGTTCCATTCGCACAATTTTACGGAATCAGTGCGTACTCCGGACGCCCTAACCTGCACTGAGGCGCTCGTCAGCGCAGTTCATTGCACTGGGCCATTTTGAGGTAAGGTACGGAATTTGTTAATGTTTATTTGGATTCGTGGTAAAAATATGAAGACAATTGATCTTCTGTCACGCAGAGACACTTCAAATGATGGACTATGTCATGTTTTACGAGAGACGTAAAACAAATAATTAAACACGTAATTTTTGTTACTTACGCGAAGTTCGAAAACTCAATTTGTTTATTCTTAATATTCAACATTGAATAACTCCATGTTAACAAATCCAATTTAGTAACTAATGCTATTTATAATGCTATTTAGTAACCAAAGTGTAGGTGTGACTCAATTTCGAAATGCTAATAAAGTTAAAAAATAGTGAGTAATGCCGTAACAAAATCATTTAAATTCCTTTTGAACGAAATGTTTCTCGCAGACTTGTTCAAAACCTAGTACTGTAGTTACTGGTCAAGAACGGCTGTCTATAATCTCACTGCACAGTGTACACGCACTGACTCAGTTCCGGAATCCGTTTCATTTGTGGCTGCCCTTAACGCGTGTAGGGCAGCACTGTTGTGGAGCGATGTCGTTTTTACCCTGCACATGGGTGGGTTTCAATTCAACGAATGGTAAATGGTCTAAGAGCTGAGAGACTTATCACAAGCACCTATTAGAAAGCTGGCGTTAATGGACTTCTTCGGGATTGCGTAAAGGTACTTCACGCTCCACCTAAAACTGCACTTTCTTCACACAGCTGAAAAAAAAACCTTTCCCTGCCTTGCCTTCATAATCAATCACCTTCGCTCGTGCAACAAACATTTGGCGGAAATAGGGAATACGATTCAGCTTAAGTCGTTTAAAACGGCACTTTGCGTCTCTCAGGCGAGGGGAAGTCCAAGGTAGAGAGGGCGAGGGGTAAGTAGGGGTTTTTGAGGGGAATCTTTCGGAGGTCGGGGTAGTGAGCACTGTGCAGAATGTGATACATTATAAATAGAGCTGGGAAGTTTATGCAAAACTTGTAGCCGTGAACTATCCATGCAAATATGCCACAAAAATATTGGAATACGCACATAAATTGTTAAGATATGTAGCACTTGTCACAAAAACATGTTTTACAATGATATTACATTTTTTGCCACTAGAAAAGTCGGGAAAAGGAAAATTAAAAAAAACAGACCACTACATACCTACTCCTACACATTTATTTTGTCTCCAGAGCTCAGAAAGTCGCAAGAATTTAGGTTATCTGCGGTTAGCGAGCGCCTCCTATTATAAAATGCAGTGTGACGTACACAATCGCACATCGTGATGATACAAAAATTCCAGGAAAGGATAACTAAATAATATTTTGCGCAGCGCAGATGGCTGCTTCACGTGTTCCAAATGGTGTGCTTTTGTTGCTTAGCATCGCGAATTGAGACGAGCGTGGAACCGGGATGGGCTGTCAGGCTTACACTGTACGCCGTGGCGCACGTGATGTGGCCGGGAGACCGGCGATTTGTCACCGTGGCGAGTGCCGAGTTCAGGCGCACACGTGTCACTCCCGACAGACAAAGGGCGAGTTTTGAGTTAGCTACTGAGCACAGAGGAGTAGCATTAAATAAACACTTGAAGACAACAAGAATCGCAAGAAGACAACAAGAAGGAAATTTTAATCCTGAATCCGATTGACTGCGGTAGCCATAATTCGAATTTAAGACGACGCATGTGAACTCGGGTCACGCACGTGCTGCGCCGGGAACCGATGAGCCAAATGTTATATCCAAAAAAAGAACAATGATTTCTAAAAACTGTTTTTATTTCCATAAGCCAATAAGAGATTCACTAATAACAAAAGCCGGGTCAAACAATGTTTCAGGAGATGTACCGGGGACGTAGCAATATTCACTGATTAACCGCAAGATAAGTCCGAGATCGTCACCTGTTCCGCAACACACTTCACTAGACACTATAACTCACTCCAGACCGGCACTTCACACACTCTGCCGGCCACTTGCCAGGCACCGCTCTTATAGCCCGCTAGGGCTGAAGGTCCGCCGGCCAGCTGCCCGATAAGGGTGAGTTCTGTGGTTCCGGGACCTGGCCGAGCGTGACGGAGCTGCGGCGTTGGTAATCGGCGCCCTCTCTTGAGCGGCGCCGGAAACACTTTCCGGCGGCAACTTCAATGGTGCGCGTTCGACCATATCACCAAAGGAGGTGAAGGGATACTTTTGTAAACAATAAAGATGATCATAGGCTAATTTTTCAAAGGGCGGGAATATGCCGTAGGAATTGGAGGGAACGACACAACTCTTTCACAATTTCACGCTATCTAACGAACAATATACATTAAGAATTACCTGAGTACTCATTCCCCAATGGCATAGTTTTTTTTCTCGAAACATTCAAAGTATTGAGCAGCGCAACACCGACACCTACAGGCCGCCATACGTGCGATTCCCTGTTTCTCAACACTGACCCTTTTCTTAAAAACGTTTTACATATCTTTGAGCTTATCATAAGTGGTTTTTCTAGCTGGCTCTCAATTTATCAGCGAATTAGCGGGCTCTTGACGGGGATTTCCTGAGATCTCTCCAAGGCCTAAACCTTTTCTCCCATTCGTCTACACTTCAAGTGTTTATTTCCATCCTTCTGCGCAGAGTAACTCTCTCGTAACTGGCCATTGATCCATGTCCAATTGACATTCATTGTATTTCAGCCCTTCGCGAGTGCATCTGCACTGCACCCTCGCCCGTCCTGTCAAATTCCTGGGCTCCTGGCCGCGACGCATCCGCCCCGGTCTGGTTCGATTCTTGTCTCGATTTGCCATGCTAAGTATCAATAGCACTACTTTTCGGGGCACGTGCGTGCAGCTAGCTGCGCTGCGCCGCGCTATATATCTTAATTGTATGTTCTATTACTGGGATTTTGATATCACGATGTGTGATACATCACAACGGTGACCAAGAAAACAATTTGCCTAACTTATATGGTTTACCCGCCCCCACAAAAATTAGAAGCGAAAACCTGTTCGTGCCAAAACTAAAATGGCCGAAAAATACAAGAAGTTTCACGAAACTTAGTATATGGTTTGCCTATCTTTTTTCTAGATTTGAACAGCCCAAATTATTTACATCCAAAGTTATTACATACCAAAATGATAAAGTGTAACCATTCAAAATGTAAAAAGACAATTCTTATAAATAAAATGAGAATAGTTTGATTAGTAAACCAGTGTTTAATTTAAACATGCTCGCCCTTTCTCATTCAGAGAGAGTGTGAGATAAATAGAAAGATCCTTTCTTTCTTCAATTTTCCTTTGCTTTATCTAAATACTTAATATTTGAGAGTGGATGCTACACACACTATCCACTTTCCTTTGTGTACTTTATACACATTGTAACGAGAAGTAATGTGAAGCTAACACTCACGTATTTACTAGGCTGTCCGGGTGAGGCCGCGTCCATGGCGAAGGCGCCGACGTTTCGGTCGCCATTCTGCGACTTTCCTCAGGGCATAATGCGCATAGATTTTTTTTCAGTTTTCCTCCCTCCAGTTTCCCTGGAGAGGCAGGAATTTATTTATCTTTGGGGTACATTATGACTAACTGCAGCCGATTTGGCTTGTACTAAAACTATCTTATAACTATAACTATACACATTCCCTTTCTGGGGTTTATTAGTTTTTAGGCTTCTTTTTTTTAAAATTTTTAATTGGGAGATCTTGAAATTCTTCAATTTTTTTCTTTTAATTTTTTTCTCATTCGCATTCACTCATTAATAATTATATTTACAAACGCATCCATTCATTCATTCATACATACACAACACTTCACAACACTACATACACTTTTAAAGCACGCCACGGCGCCGACTTCAATCAAGCGTCGGTGGCGCCGCGACGTCTTCGGATCCCCAGCAACGCTGGCCCTGCGGAGCGCGCATCCGCGCCGCCCGGGCGGTTTCCGGCATCCGTGAGCGGCGATCCCCTCCCACGCACTTGCTGCTCCCCCGCGTCGCAGAGCTCAGAGAGCGATCTTCGAAAGGCCGAACTGTCGCCTCCCGGATGATGCCTGGCTGCTCGAAATCGTGGCAAAGAATTCTCTTGAGAATTAGTTTTCTCAAGGATTTTGCCGAGGGATTGGCGGAGAGAGATGGTCGATAGTTTTTGGGAGGTCCGAGTTTTTGTCGGTTTGGAAGTACGTCATCAGTCGCAGATTTTCCAAACCGCGGGGAAGTATGGCACAGAAATGCAGGCGCTGTAAATCGCAGCTAAGAGTTGGGTGGCCTTAGAGGTTAATTTTCTAAGCATGTTTTGCCTGAGAGGTTTTTGTTCCGGCCACGCCCGCTCGTTTATGATGTTTTATTCTTGAGTGGGCGGCTTACACTCATCCTCAGTGATCTTTCCAGTCACGACGGATATCGTTGTTGAGGCGTTGGTGAAAGAGATTTCCGCGGCGGTGGCGGGGGAGAGAGGAGATGGCTGTGGAGGCGAGAACGTGATTGAGGGTTGTCCTAGCGAACACCTCTGCTTCACTGCGGGGATCGTAGGTTGAGAAGGCACGTTGGGGCGGTTAATGGCTGGTGGCCGCTGCGGGTTTCGTAAGGCCTTTCAATTTCTCAACCAATCTGATGCGTTGTTAATTTCTGAGTTTTTTCGACGTAGTTTTTCCCAACATCGCGTTCCGCTAGATGCTCCGCATGAGGCGGGTTTTTCCCGCCGAATAGATTGATACGCTGCTTTTGCTACGGGGATCGTGAAGGGCGGTGGTAAATTGTCTCTGCAGGGCGCTCCTGAATGAGGCAATCAGCTCGACGGAAGTTTGGTTTGTGGTGCAGAAGGGATCAGTAAGTGTGGAGTTTTCGTCGAAGGCGGTTTGTTGATTGGTCTTACCGCCTGTCCCTATGTGAGGGGGAATCGAGGATGGGTTTTGCGAAGAGCTTGTTCGATAACTTTCGGTTGAAAGGGTTTCGGTTTGGGGGCTGGGGGCGGGGAAAAATGTGTCTCTTTGGTAGTAGCGAAGAGGACGGGGAGGTGGTCTGATGGAAAGGTCGTGGAGTGGTTTGAGGTTTAGTGATGGAGGGGAGGGGAGTGGAGGACTATATCGAGAATATCTCCGCGCGATTTCGTTTAACATATTGTGCGGAGGTGGGTGGCGGAAGAGGGAGCGGAGATGATTACCGATTGCTACGATCCGGTACGGGAGCAGGCGATTTCCCGCCAGATGTTTCGTCATGGCAGCCCCCATCGTGTGCTTGAAAGGTTCAAGTCGCCCGCTATGATATTGACTGGCCCGATCGTGAGGCAAGCGTTAATCGAGATCGCCTTCCTCTAATTTGAAATTGAGGACACGCTGTACGCGGAGACGAGAGTGATTTCGCTCCGTGCGGACGTTCCTATTTCAAATAGCTGGTGGCTTCCATTGCGCAAGAGGCGCGTGTTAAGGGCGTATGTGGATATTTCGTCCTCGAAATTGCGATTAGGTGCCACCGCCGCGTGCGGCCCCAGGACGGCTGTTCCTATAGATGAAAAAGTTCCGCATTGCGACGAAAGCCTCGCGGGTTAGGCAGATGCGTCTACCTGGAATGACAATGGGCGTGAGTGCGAATCGTCGGCGATAAACTAGTCACTATAAAAAATCGGCCTTTTTCCCGATTTTAGTCCGCCATCGGCGTTCCAGGAGACAATTTAAAGAGTGGGTATTTTGGAAGGGCATTCACTAGAATGCGTCATTAAAGAGGGGGTCGTATTAGCATATTATTTTGAGAAATATTCCTGGGTCCGCGAAACGATTGATATTGGCTTGCTTTAGATCGATTTAATTTTTCGATATCGATTCCTCGTAAGCAGTGTATAGTGAGTTCCAGAGAGATCGAGAGTCCGCGAGAGCTGAAGTGGAGTTTAGTATCGGGTTCGCCGTTCGCGGGGGAGCTGAGGGATGTGCTGTGATTGGCCGGCCGGCCGATACTCATGAGAATTGGGCGAAATAGGTGCGCTCTTGCACGGTAATGTGGGGGCAGAGGGGCCAATTCCCGAGAGAGCTGGGGAGGCTGGCGTGGAGGAAGAGCGCTGCCAATCCTGGCAAGCAGTGGCGCGCGGGCCCTTACGAGCGCTGTGCGCGCTTGTTGAAGCATCACGCGCTGAGCAGCTGAGCTGAGCCTTGTACTCATTGTAAGGCAGGGCACTCTCTGTAGTTAGCGGCCGTCTACTGGCTGCTGAATACAAATTTCGCCACACCGCTTCGCGCGGGGCGTTTGCGGCTGGGCTCGGCGGGTTACAGTGCTGCAGGCGTCGCTTATGGCGGCGTCTCCGTGTTGGGAGTAAGCGTCGTGGCGTCAGGCAGCTGTGTATCTGTTTGATACCGGCACGTTTATAGTCGGGTGTTGCCGGCTGATGAGCTTTGAGAATGCTCACGTGCCGAGTGGTCGTTCTCGTTTATTCGGGGCTGGCATGCACAGGGAGGAGAGCTGCTCGCTGAGGGCGAGTCACAGGGGGGTCTCAGCGGCACTCATCGTGTTGGCGTCTGACTGGCTGGCGGGGAAGGGTCACTCGTTGTGCAATGCATGCTGCCGCAGTCCCGTCGACGGGGTGTGAGGAAGACCACCCTCGTCGTCGCGCTTCTGTTGTTGCCTTCTGCGGGATCTTTGCTTCGTGCCACGGCTCTGGTGGCTCGAGCGCGGTGCAGAGGATCC